CCATCACTGGCGACAGCTCTTTCAAGAAGGATGGAGATGAGGTGGAGGGGATTCGACGGTCATTCTATACTCCGCTCGATGATGATTGATGTGAGTGGTGTGCAGCTGCATGTTATCAGTCTGTGACATGTGTTTTCCTCTACACCTACAGGAAGCCTGAGGGCGCATATAACACCATTTTCTTGAGTGTAAAGGGGAGATGGTTCTAGTTACAGGACAGAAGCGGTGATTTCACTTCTCCTTCTTCTTCTTCTTCATCGTTTTGACAATGTGGACGGACAGATTTGGTGACAGTCTTCATTATTTCTGCTCGACTTGATGAATCATTCTGATAGACCTGAGTTTCCAACCTCTCATTTATTTTGATATCTTGGCGTCATTCACTTAATCCTGGTCACCAGACTGCTTGAAACAGCGTCTCAACGAATCTCATGAGAATATTATTCTCACAGTTGCTTGAGGATGTATTGAGATGAGCGGGTGATGACGACGGGGTGATTGAGTGAGTGAGTGAGAGAGAGGGAGAGAGAGAGTTAAAGCCTATATAGACACAAGCACAGTACAATGCATTCACCACGCTGTTAATTCTCCAAATTGCAGACTCGAATAACTGTCTCAAAAGTCTAGTTCATTCATAACCTGATGTATTAAGAAATGACTGAGCTACATGTACTACACTACACTGCTTGTCCTTCGAAACTTTGTATTATTATGACTGAGTCAACTAGACTGTCAACCAGACATCTTTATTCGACTGACTTCAAATGACGTGTTGTTGGTAAGTCATAGAAAAGACGATGGATGATGATGATGATGAAAAGTGAGAAGGCATTTACACCCAGTTATTCTTATGGATTTGATGAGCCTAGCTAGCAACTATTCAGGTTGCATTCAGCCATTACCATCAGTCAATAAATAATACTAAGGTAGAGAATGGTGTGTGCGTTTAATGAAATGCAGGACACGTATTACTGGCTTGTTTACATACCACTATCACAAGATGTTGGATTCCAATCAATTCGACTGGAATAACCAAACAAAGCACACCGAAGATATTAGGGCCCAATCAATGTACTTAACTTTATTCACTTTATTCTCAATGTTCAAATTAAACGACGTATTGTTATGTTAACGTCTCACGGTAAAAATAAACCTGTATCTAGGGTGGCTTTAAAATACACCAGAATAATTGTCTTTCAATGCAATGCCTGTTCACTCACTCATCATCATCATCCATCGTCTTTTCTATGACTTACCAACAACACGTCGTTTCAAGTCAGTCGAATAAATATGTCAGGTTGACAATCTAGTTGACTCACTCATAATAACACAATGTATCCAAGATCAGGCATAGAAACGTCTCACAGTACACGAAGTACATGTAGCTCAGTCATTCAAAATACATCAGGTTATGAATAAACTAGAGTAACCTAGACAGTTAGTTATTTATTCTAGTGTATTTGTACGACTTAGATGTATGCACTTTTGAATGAGAAGTGTACCACAGAGTGCAGTAGCTATCTGAGATTCGGAATGTTATTCTCACATGTTCCCACAGTTCAATGTGGCTGTAGCAACACTATACGATATATCTATTTGAACATTCTATTTGACGATGATGATGATGACAGAGTTGGAATGTAATTCCCACACACCTCTACTACTACATTGACAACAGAGTACGTATGTGTATTGATAATAATAATAATAATCATATAATATTTGTGGTTGTTAGAACGAAGGCCAGTTAGTTATACGGCGGATACATTTTTAACGTGGAATAGCAGATATTAGTGGGTATAGTGTGTCGAAATAAATAAATAAATAAATAGATGTATTTGTGTGACAAACGTTGTGCTAGGCTGAAATCGATTACCAAAATATTGTAAAACGGGAGACAATAGTGGTGAATATTCCTCATAATAGATTTGTAGAGTGTGGGGTAGGAAAATTGACAAGTAAGTCAGATCAAGGTTATAAAAGGTGTCAGGTGAGTGAGTGAGTGGCTAGTACAAAGTGGTCTGTGTTAAACAGGAGATAGATAGTAAGACTGCAATGAGAGAGGTTCATAATGAAATAACGAATATGTGAATGAAATGAAACAGGTGGAGGCATATATTGAGAAAAGTGATAATATCACTAATAATAATAAGTCCGGATAGTATAAATGAAAATTCGATAGTATTGAGGGGCATAAATTATGACGAATAATAATAATAATAGTAATTATAAAATCTGAAAATTCCCATTGAGTCATATGAGAAAGAGAAGACGTTCAGCGAAGAGACTCTTTCCGACGGCGAATTCATTCACATATCGCATTTATATACAATTACTTGTGCATCTGTGTGTGTATGTGTATGTACATGAGGTTTGTCAAGTTTAGATGATTGATCAGGTAATAAAAGAATGATCTAATATAGAAACAAGGTTAATTGGACAGCAACTAAAGTAAGATTGAGTTAGTTAGTAAGTTAGATGACGACGTAATATAATTGACTAAAATGTTTCAACTTAGGTCAGGGTAGCAACAGAGGTAATTACAGGTAGAGAGAGACTAAGTAGAAGTGGGGATAGATAATAATACCATTTAAATTGGAACTGAAATTGAGCAAATAAGTTGGATGACGTAACATAAGTGACTAGAAATTGAGCGTTGGTGAAGTCAGTAACAGCGGTAGTGAGGTGATATCCTGTAACCAATCAAATCAAATCAAATCCCTGCAAACCAACACTTGAATATCCCGTGTCTCTTGGAAGTTCAAAGTATCATCATCTTGAAGTGTGATTTCATTCTGAACCGACACTAACAGAGTTCGTCAAGCCTTTCCACATACTCATTTGATCCTCAGACATTCGGGTGTAGATGCAAGTGTTGATGGAGTAGAAGAGAGGTGACAAACACTCGGTGATTATCTGAAGTGAATTACCACATTCACTTCACGAAGAATATCTAACTTCAAAAGTTATATCAGATATCAGAGGACATGAATAACCGGTCGTCGTCGTCGTCTACATCATTGACAAACACACCTCCCCCTTGAAATCGAAGACTGGAATTCCCTCCATTCTCCAACTGCACATTTGCTTGTCTTTGTTAAGTGCATTGTTTAGAGTTGTGCATGTGCTTTCTTGTCCCAAAAATACGGTGTGGAATCAAGCTTTATTAAAAAAATATTATTATTGTTATAATAATAATAATAATGTAAGATCAATTCAATTCTCATCCTTGAATCAAGTCAATCTGTCCCGGATCAGCCTAGCGTTGTTGCAACCTAATTATCCATGTGACATACAAGCATGATTCAGGAATTAAAACAAATCAAAACTTGTAATTTCAAATAAAAAATTTATGTACATAATAAACCATGACATGTTCGTTAACATTTGTGAAATTCATATATAAATAGATATATACATATACTTGGTGAATGCGTGTGCTTGCAGTACAGTTGACGAACAGCAAATAATAATACTAATAAATATTAATGGTTATAATGAAATGAATCTCGACAACAATAGTAATGAGAATGTCTAAATGAGGTTAACGTTTATGTCAGTCAATAAAATGAACATAGCGGGCAGGTTTACAGATCTGCCGTCCACTGCGTGTCTGTACAGGGGGAAGAGTGAAGAGAGGGAGAGTTGGAGTTGCATTGACTTTCTGATTGTTTATTGGTGTCGGCGTTGCTAGTGTTTCATGTTCGCTGTCGGTGTACGCTGGTTTAAGACGGTCGATAGAAACAGTCTCCGGTTTACCATGTTTGTTCAGCGTGAAGTATTTATCGGTGCGTTTAAGTACTAGAAAAGGACCTTCATATGGATGTTGTAAACCTTTTCTAATGGCATCGACGCGAACAAATACAAATTTGCTAGTGAGTAGGTTCTTATTTACTTGAGCTTTCTGAAGTGATTGGCGAGGGGCTACTGGTCTAAGCTGAAGCATATGCTGGGTAAGGCGGTTGGTGAAGTCGGAGATATTTACTTCAGTTGAATCATTAGACGGAACTAACTGACCAGGCAATGTGAGGGTAGTACCATACACAAGTTGAGCTGGTGTACATCCCAAATCTTCTTTTACAGTTGATCGGATACTGAGAAGAACTAATGGTAGGTGTTCACTCCACTTAGATGAGTCAGCTTGTGCCATAAGCGAGCTTTTCAGTTGTCGATGGAAACGTTCCACCAGACCATTCGCTGCAGGATGATAAGCTGTAGTGGAGATATGGTTCACTCCAAGGAGTCTCGTAAACTCTCGAAACAGAGTTGATTGAAATTGAGCTCCTCGGTCTGTTGTAATAGTTGTGGGTACTCCGTAGTTTGACACCCAGCGATCTAAGAAAACCAAAGCGATATTTTCTGCAGATATATCGTTGAGTGGACAAGCAATAGCCCATCGGGTAAATCGATCAATCGCAGTAAGTATATGAGTAAATCCTCTGGATGGCGGTAATGGTCCAACAACATCTATATGAACGTGTTGAAATCGTTTATCGGGTAAATTGAACTGTTTTGGAGGTGTGACGGTATGATGATGTACCTTGGATCTTTGACATTGCAAGCATTGGCGGGCCCATTTCCGAATATCGGAGTTCATCTTGGGCCAAACAAAACGCTCGCTGATCAACTTGACTGTAGCACGCACTCCAGGATGAGACAATGAATGTAGATGTTCAAACAAAGGTTTTCGACAACTTAGTGGAACAAAAGGTCTATGAACGCCCGTTGAAACGTCGCAGACGATAGTTGTATCAGACAGGGGAATAGGTACATCCTGCAACTGTAGGGAGGAGTTTCGTCTACAAGTATGGAGTTCGGCGTCATTTTTCTGCAGCTTGGCAATATTGTCTAAGCTAATATCTATCGAAGATAGGTGATTAACGTCACATCGAGACAAAGAATCGGCTACGATATTGGAATCTCCTTTGATGAACTGGATGTCTGTTGAGAATTGTGAGATGTAATCCAGTTGTCTGGCTTCTCTCGGAGAGTGTCTGTCCAACGAAGTGGTGAAAGCATAACAAAGAGGCTTATGGTCGGTTAAGATAGTAAAATGTCGACCTTGTAGTAAGAAGCTGAAATGTTTCACTGCTAGGTAGATGGCTAACAGTTCTCTGCCAAAGGTACTGTAACGAGTTTGCGCAGGTTCCAACTTCTTGGAGAAGAAAGCAAGTGGAGTGATGTCATTATTGAACTTTTGTTGTAAAACTGCTCCCACTGCTACCTGCGATGCATCTGTACATAAAATGAGTGAAGCTTCTGGGTTGATATGAGATAACATTACAACGTTGGATAAGGCATCTTTTGCATTATTAAATGCTGCTTTTGCTTCTTCAGACCACTGAAATTTCTTCGAATTGCATCTAAGTAGGTCGGTCAGTGGCTGAACTATGGAGGCACATGATGGAATAAAACGTCGGTAGAAGTTGAACATCCCGAGAAAACGTCTAAGTTTCTTTAAGGAATCAGGTTCGGGAAAGTTCTTAATAGTTTCTATCTTATCTTCGGTAGGTCTGATGCCTTCGGCAGTTATTCGATGTCCTAAGAATTCAATGGAAGGGGAACCAAAAATACATTTCTTTGGATTGATAACAACTCCAAATTGTTCAAACCTTTGAAATAACAGGCTTAAGTGTTGCATATGTTCTTCCATCGATGAGCTGGCAATTAAGACATCGTCGATATATACAAAGACGAAATCAAGACCTTGGGTAACTTGGTCCATAAAACGCTGAAATGTTTGAGCAGCATTCTTTAGTCCGAAAGGCATTCTCAAGAATTCGAATAATCCAAAAGGCGTAATAATTGCTGTTTTTGCAATGTCTTCTGGAGCGACTGGTATTTGATGATATGCCCTGACCAAGTCAACTTTGGTAAAAACGGTCTTTCCATGTAAGGTCAAGGAGAAGTCGTGGAGATGAGGTATAGGATAACGATCTGGGACCGTAGCGTTATTCAAAGCGCGATAATCTCCACATGGTCGCCAGTCATGATTAGTTTTAGGTACCATGTGCAGAGGTGAAGACCATGGGCTGTTAGATGGTCGTATGATACCTAGCTGCATCATATGTTCGAATTCCGACTTAGCTGCTGCTAGTTTATCGGGTGGTAACCGTCGTGGACGTGCCTTCACAGGTTGTCCTGTTGTGATGATCTTATGCGTAACTGTATGAGATATATCTTCAACGTTGTATGATGGTTTAAGGATTTTAGGAAATCGTTTCAATAAAGCAGAGAACATTTCACTCTCCGGCTTTTCTATACAGATGCTATGAACAGAGTAGTCACATGTAATACCGTGGATCTTGAGTTGGGTGCAATTGTCAACCAGTTTTTTCTTGCTGATATCAACTAACAGATTGAAGTGACTTAGGAAGTCTGCACCTAGTATAGCGTGACGTACGTCAGCTACTATGAAGATCCATGTGAAACGTCGGCGTAGTCCTAAATTTAAAATCATTGACTGTTCGCCATACGTCTGTATGTTGGTTTGGTTGGCAGCACGGAGTGAAAGTTTTCCAGGTATTTTGGCTGATCGCCTGGATAGTGAGGGGGGAATAACACTGACCTCGGCGCCTGTATCTACCAGGAATAATGTGCCGGTAGTCAAATCCCTCACATAGAAAAGGCGACTGGGGTGATTGCCATTAACAGCCGTCGCCATTACTGTCTGGCTGGGGAGTTTCCCTGAGATGAGTTACTACTGTTGTACATACACGGTCGAATACACTTCAGGGCATTATGCCCATACCTCCTATGATACCAACAAATGTTACGGCTTTGAGACGGTGTTCTAGAACGTCGTCTAGATCTTGATCGCCGTTGCTTGGATACCGTATGTGACTGGTTCCTTTGTGCTCGAAGCTCGGACACTTCCAGTCGTAAATCTTGCATTTGAGATGTTAACTGGGAAAGTAACCAAAACATTGGTGCGTCCTTCATAGATGTGGAAGGGCTTGGTGGTACTGCCTCTGTAGACACGCTATTTATGCCATTATTTGATAACACATCCATGATATCGTCTGCCATTTTAGCTAATTCTTCAAGGTCTGTCGTCCTAGAAGATATTGTTAGGATTTGTTGAACATTTTGTGGTAAACGTTGTAAGAACATCTGACGTAGAATTAACTCATCTACTTTGTGTGACCCAATCAACTGGCGCATATGTCTAAGTAGTTGAGATGGCTTTTTTGTACCTAGATCACACGAAGTAAGTAGTTGTTGTATGCGTTTCTCATCGGAGAGAGTGGTCCGCTGGATGAGTGCAGCTTTTAGTTTGTCATATTGAGAGTCTGTAGGTTTGCTGTCTATGACATCGATAACCTCTCGTAGTACTTCCGTGGGAATTGCTGCTAATACGCAACCATACATGGCGATCTGCGACGTAATACCTCGAGCTGCAAACAACTGTTCAATAATTGTGAACCAGACACGTGGTTCAGCCAGATCAAATTGAGGAAGTCTTAAATCCGGCAAGGCGTTAACAGCAGAGTTCTGTGTCTCTTCGCCTTTATTACCTTCTTCAGCAACAGTGGTACGTTTAGGTGGAGCCATTGTCATATAATATATAAGTATAGAGATATACAAAATAGAAAAACTTGTGGTAACAAAAATTAAAGCAGTGCGAGTTTATAAGGACAAAATAGCAACAAAAATGTTCAAAACGAGGTAACTATCGAAACAAAAAGGTTCGAAAACGGGTTAACCATAAAAAAAGGTTCGAAACGGGCTCACCAATTATTGTGGTGGACCTTTTCACTCTATTAGCTTAGTTACCCAAATTCAAGTAGAAAATAAAATACCAAATGAGTTTAGTTACGGGAAGAATGTATTAAAGTTTGATTACTTGAGTTTACAAAGATCCAAGTCCACAATAAACGTTATAGACTCCAGGTGCTGCGGAAAGACTGCTCCAGTAGTAATTCTCCAATGTTGACGTTGCCGGAGGTCGACCAAAGTACGTAGGAAGAAACTACGGTGCTCCTGCAAAAATCAGAGATAGAAAGCAGGTGATTAGGATTGATCGACGGCAGTTGAGATGGTG